AAACAAAAGCCTTCAGGGTTACATCCTTATGAGTTACATTTACTGGTCATTCTGCTCTTCCAATAGTCATTCTTTCATTTCCTCACAGAAGCCAACAAGTACCTCATCCTCCTGTCAGTCTAAGGCAGCACTGATGGGAAAGGCAGCGACGGGGCCTCCTGATGAAACTAATGGCACAGAGGAAGAAGCACCAACCAGTAAAAATATGTCTTTTTGTCAGTTTGTGTTTCAGCAGTTTCATATTAATCTTGCACAAAAAGGTTCCAAAGCCAAGTAAAACACATCTTGTGACTTGAAACTGAACTGATGAACTCCCCATGGGCCCTTTGCTTATCCCGATAAACTTATTTTTCCTAGATGGAGTGCATTTAGAACAAAATAGTGTATGTTATTAAAACTGCATTGTGCTGTTCAGTTATACATGGGAGAGTTAGTAAATTCAGTTTGTGGGTTTGGGTTTGTTTTGTTTTTTGGCTAACCAAGTCTGTCCTCTACCAATTTTGGTCCACCTTCAAGCCTCCAGCTGCTTCACTGCTTCCCTGCAGATTTGCTAGTGATGCCAAGGGTACCACTGTGTAAGGAGAATACACAGTTATGCAATTTGGGGAATTTGGCAGGACAGCAAGAGGAAATTTAGGCTGGCCTCCCACCCACTCCCATGAGAAATAGTATTGTATTACAAGGCAGAGCTGTCATCCTCTGAAAGACCTTCTCAATCACTTCCCTCTGGTTCCCTTAACATTTTGATCTTTGTACTACCTGGTGAATATAAACCTTTCTTAACCACTTCAAGAAATGCTGGGGTGGTGGGTTATGCTGAAGTAGGGGTGAGTAGAGGAAAAAAAAAGAAAAAAAAGAAAAAAGAAAAAGACCTTCCAAGAAAGGAAACTTCATTACTCCTCAGTCTTCTTTGTCTCTGCTGATCCATGAGGAAAGAAGACAACAAATCAAGTTTCCATGGAAAAGACAGTGTATTCCCAAAGAAACCTACATCATTAAATTCTTCCATGTACAGCTTCACCCATGAAGATCTCCTTACACCCATCACTGAAATGCCATAACACCCCCAGTGAATCATGTCCACCGATTAACTGAGCACAGAAGTGTTACACGACTTCTTGACTCAGGAAATGAAGCTACCAGGAAGAACCCTGCAGCAGCTTTGCCTTACGCACCTACTGCAAAAACAGAAGGTTCTCTGGAGCCTGCTTCCATAGATATCCTACAGTATGGAGAAATTCCAGTTGGCACAGAAACAGAGGGGTACATACACACATCCCCAGCAATCTCACCCACCACTAATCAGGAGTTTATACGTGGGCTTTGAGATTTAGTCAGAAGACATTACTTCGCAGCATTCTTCAGCTGGCACATGATCAGAGGTTGGCAGAAAGGGTTATTGGCTGTATCATATTAAATATACATTAGGTTTGGGTAAAGCTGGTGGCTGAGGCCCAAAGTGAAAGCAAATCTCTGGCACCCTCTCCTACCACACAAATTCCTCAGAGGGAAGAAAGACAGACTGGAAAAGGAGCAGAAAGGCTGACAATTGGCAGAGCAAAGAGATGAGGAACAGAAAGGGCCAGTAGATACGCCTGAAACATGTTTGCTTTGCATAGGCTGTTTCATTATATTTGAGAAACATTTCTGTCTGAACGGGAGCTTTTTAGTGTAAAGGATGAAATTTTTTACCTGTGAGAGTGTGGAGGAGTCAAGGTCACTTAAATACTTTTTAGCCCTGCCTGAGGAATGTTAGCCTTATCTAAGGCATTTAACTTTGAACATGGGTTATAAAAGACAGAGAACAGAAAAAACAGATCTTTGGAACAGAGGTTCTTATATGTTGTGTGGAAAACAACACACCAAAGAAGGGCAGCAAGTCTTGTGAAGGGTCTAGAAAACGTCTCATGAGGAACAGGCTAAGGGAGACTGGTTTGTTTAGTATCAAGAAGAGGAGGCCTGGGGGGACCTCATCCCTCTCTACAACTCCCTGAAAGGAGGCTGTAGGGAGGTGGGGGTCAGTCTCTTCTGCTGTGCCTGCAGTGAGAGGACCAGAGGAGATGACCTTCAGCTGAGACAGGGGAGATTCAGACTAGATATCTAAAAGATTTGTTCCCTTCTAGGGTGGTCAAGCATTGAAACAGGTTGCCCAGGAAGGTGTTGAGGTCCCTGGAGGTGTTCAAGAAGTATCTGGATCTGGCACTGGGGGATGTGGTTTAATTGTTCAGGAGTTACAGTGGTAGTGCTGGGTGGACAGTGGGACTGGATCATCTTGAAGGTCTCTTCCAACCTTAACAATTCTAAGATTCTACAATTCTGTGAAAGTTGAAGCTGACAAGGTCTTTCTGACTTGCAAGACACAGGAGGCCTAAATTTTGAGTGAAGGCTGCCTTAGGAAGGAAAAGTGAGCAGCTGGCCAAGCACTGCCATCTCAACAGAAGACTGTAAAATTACTGTTGCTGTAATTGTATGCTAGGTACTGTCTTTTACCCTGTTTAACCATTTCATCAAAAGATTTTTTATTTTCATTAGTTTAAAATGTTATTTATTGATCCCTTTGATTTGTGTTTGCAAATGGGAAAAATTAGGTCATCGAACATGAGAAAGTTCAAGATTATTTTCCCAGAGTTTTGGGTGGAACTTGAGCAACACATGGAGATTCTTAGATTTAAACCTGGCCCTTGATGAAGGCAGTTCAGACCTGGCAAAATTGTTACACTTGGGTAAAGAAGGTGACAGCTACCATCTGATGTATCCAAAACAAATCTCTACTCCCATCCACAACCAGTGGTGTTAATCTTCAAGGTACGTCTTTCAAAACATTAACTGTGATAGATTTAAACACAAACATCTAAATATAAAACATAGCACCTAACACTTGTCAGGTACAGTAACAAGAAGGAACCTGCCTTAAAACAATTTTGGATACCATTTACAATGGTGTGTTTTGTTTCAGCTGTTGCTGAAGCTGTGGAGTTTGGGCATGGCGTGCAATAAAACAGGATGTACTGCTGACTTTAGTGAAGCCAGTTTGATGTCACTTGAAGACTCAGAATCAACAGCTAAATTTCTGTTGAGCAGGCTAATAGCTAAAATGTGGAAGTAAAAATAGAGGATCCATTTACAGTCATATCACTGTGCAGATTTAGTACTTTCCTATTATATTTACTGACAGAGAAAGAAAACCCCAACTGTCAGTTATTATGAAATATTTCTTGAAGTGGTAGACTGGCACACTTTAGTTACTCTGATATAAACAGACAATTAAAATGAATTAATAGAAGGAAAATATCTATTAATCTGTTAATTAACAAATGTTGTCTTTCAATAATATCTCACAAGATGACACAGATGCTCAATGTGTTTTGTAGAAGGCTGTTAGGAGCAGTCTCAATAGAACCTGTAAGATAAAAAAAAAAAAAAAGAAAAAAGGGAAAAAAGGAAAAAAGGCAAAAAAGCCTGTTTTTAAGTATTTCCTGAATGAATCCCAAAACTGATGGGTTAGAAATGGAATGTGTGTTGGATGTTGATATGAATTTTGTACAGTGTTTAATTCTTGCACTTCAGACATTTCAATTTGGTTCTGACTCTTGAATTAGTTCATATTTCTTGGTTTAAATCTGAGTAAACAAAATGATTGAACTTGATTCCTGTGTCTCTAGTGTCCTACAAAGGCAGGCTTTGCAACTGAATCTGAGGTTTAGCCCCTTTGTGAAATACTGTGTGAGCTGCAGGGAGGCTGAGGAGGAAGGAGTGTTGTAAATTAAACTTGCTAGCCATTGTTGCTTAGTAACTTTCCTCCAATTATAATCTTTATCCTTGGGCAGAAAACAAATTAAAGGTCACCAGAGTGGGTTTTCTGTTACAAATGTATCATCCAATATTGCTATCATGTGCATACACAGTGTGGGAATAATTCCACCCCATCACTAATGTGGTACTGGCTTTCTGATGATATTGGCTATCTGGGCAATTTCTCTGTACTTTGTGATACATCATTAATTTCTGTACTGCTATATTACTCGGTTAAAAGGAGCTAAAGATAGATTAGGGGGAAAAAAAAGAAAATCATGGAGAAAATTTACTTCTTATTGCCTTGACATCTCTATTTGTCCAAGACTGAAAATGTGAAGCAAAGAAGCAATGATGTCATTATAGAGAAAGCTAGAGAACACATCACTCTTTACTACTTAAGTGGAAAAGAAGAACTCTACAAAGAATTTCCTGATGAACTTCTGCAAATTCTTCCTCACATTCAGGAAGTTTACCAAAGCCTTAGAGTGTTGACTAACAGCTGAAGACACTAAAATTATTACAGAGGACTTTGGGGCCCTGCATGATTTGTACTGATGGCTTAGCTCTGTATTAGGCTGATAAAAAGTGGTATTACAACACAACTTCAGAAGAGCTGTTTTAGGCTATGCTATATGGTGTGCTATGTTGACTGAGAATTCAGGCAAGGAAGTTCAGGTCTTTTGCTTTCTAATATAGATTTGAAGACTGTGAAATCTTGTTTATATTTGTGTGCGACACAGAGCAAGATAAATTGTATCATTTAGGAAGCATGGAGCAAGACAAAATATTTTTTTACATAAGAAGCAGCACTCATATAAGTGAGGAAGAAGGTACTCATGTAGCTGAGGGCACCAACAAAAACCATCAAGAACTGTTTTACTCTGAATTCCTCCTACAACGCCATCACAATCTTCTGCTAGCAATTTCTCTCCAGAGAAACAGGTTCAGCATTTGTCACATTAACAGACTTCCACCCTCAGCAAAGGAGTTATTTTGAGCATGACATAAAAATCTTTCACTAACAAGATCTTGGTAGATGAAATTAGCACATCTTCAAGATATGTAGTACACAACCTGTTACTCCACAGCAGCTCTGCTATTTCACACTTTTGGTCAGTGGAAGAGAAAAGCAATAGCACAGCAGGTGGGAAAAAATGGGAGAGAGTCCTGGATGCATGGTAGTTCTGAGCAGCAATTTTGATGTGCTTGAAGCAGAGTAAGGGGTATTTGATCTGTTCCTGAATGAAAGGACCACTCTCAGACAGAGCTGGAGTGGAAGAGTGCCGGCAGTGCACATACCGTTCTTCATGCCTCAGGCTTATCTTGTGCTTATGCCACACGAAAAGATAATATATACTTTGGTATTTTCCATGTCCTTGTGAGATGGAAGCTGGGGACAGGGATGAGCTGTGATGCTTCAATAAGTTTCCTTGGGCAACAGGAGAAGCAGGGCATAGAAGCCTGCTGAAGAGAGCATGAGGATTCACTCATGTCCCACAATAACTGTAGGCTGAATGTTATCCTGAAAGCAGAATCAAAAGATAGAAATGTTTTTCGTCTCTGCCACAAAGGAAAAAAGAAGTTGTACATAGAAGCACTGGTCCTATCAGAACTGTGCCTGAAATAATGTGTTACTGTACAGAATCACAGAGTTTGGAAGGGACCTCTGGAGATTGTCTACTCCAACACCCGACACAGAGTGGGAGGGTCAACTGTTGCATTGTGTCTAGGCAGGCATTGAATATCTCCAAGGACTGAGACTACACAAACTCTCGGGGAAGCCTGTTTTAGTATCTGACCATTCACAATAACTTAAAAAAAAAAAAAAAAAAGCTTTTAAAATTTGAAAATAATTTCACATATTTGATTTTGTGCCCTTGACTCTTTCACAGGATACTGCTGAGAAGAGTATCTATCCTCTTTACTGTCTCCATCAGGTATTGATACAGAAATTGTTCAGATCCCATTGAACCTTCTCTTTCCTAGGCTGAAAACAGTTCCAACTTTTTCAGCATCCTCCTGCATGTCATATGCTCCAGCCCATGGATAATCTTCATGTTCCTTCAAATCTTCATGTTCCTTCATTAGACTTGCCCCTGTATGTTTTTGTCCTTATCCTGCAGCACTCCAGATGTTGCTTCTACACTGGTGAGCTCAAAGGAAGGTGCACCTGACTCCATCTGCCTGCAATGGTCTTCTTCAGGCCATCCAGGATGCTGTTGACCATCCTTGCTTCAAGGGCAGGTTCCTGGCTCACAGTCAATTTGTTGTCCACCAGCACCCACAGGCCATCAGGCCCTTTCTGCCAAGGTGCTTTGCAGCTGGTAGACCTCCCTGGTCTGTACTGGTGCCTGGGGCTAATCACCATCAGGTGCCCTGTCTCACACCAAGATTCTGGGTGTCCCATATCTCCAGCCAAGAAGTCATTGGTCTTTTCCATGGTCTCATTCAGCAGCAAGCCTACATTCCACTCCCCCCTTGCCCTTTTTATTTCCTTTTCCTATGAGTAAATACACTCATAGAAGCCCTTCCTGTTTTCCTTTCTATCCCTCACCAGATCAAACTCCAGCTGGGCTTTCATTTTCCTAAACTCATCCTTGCATGATATAATGTGTCTGTATTCCTTATGGGAGATCTGAAACTAATTCCACCTCTTTCATGTTTCTTTCTTTTGTATTTGAGGTTTGTCTGCGGCTCCTATTTCATCCATGCAGACCTCCTCCCATCTTTCCTTGGCTTCCTGTCTGTCAGGATGGATCATTCTGACAGAATGATCTTGGAAGAGGCAATACTGGACTAAATGCTCAATCTATTTTATGAAAATGTGGGGGATGGAGGAGGTGAGAGAGAAGGAAAGCAGAAAGAATTCTATTGCCTTCCACTAAGGCAACCTGTAGTGATGTTAGAGACCCAAATTCACCTGCTTACTCCAGCAGACACCTAATTTACCATGTGAAGAGGACTGTTCTAAATGAAGAGCAATTGAGAAAGGCTTGTGCTGTAATATCAGATTAACTGGGCTTATTGGACAGATTCTCTGGCTGTGGAAACCCTCAGTAAGATTTTGCATCACATCCCACCCCAGAATTTGGCATCCGTATCAATCTGGAACTCTGGCCTGTTGACTAACAGGAGGCTCAGTTCCCCAAAAGCTTTTACCTTCAGCCAATCACAGAGTCATGGAATCATTAAGGTTGGTAAAGATCTCCAAGATTCAGCCTTTGACCAGCTGTCACCATATCAGCTAAAGCACAGCACTAAGTGCCAGGTCGAGTCGTTCCTTGAACAATTCCAGGGCAGCCTTCAGCATGTAACAGATGTCAGAGAAACCCTTGTTTTCCAAATCCCTCTGTACTTATGTGTGAGGAGGCATATCAGACAGTACACCTGATTGTGCAGAGTCTCAGATCTTCTGGAAGATTCCATCCATTTTAGAGAAAAGGAAGATAATGTTTTGAATACATCGTCTCTTGGAATCTGTTAAGTGCCATGGGGTGCTAAATCCTGAAGGGATGAAGAGATTACCAATAATGTTCTGATTAATAACATATTCAATACTTGACTTTTAGGTAGGTAGCTTTCTTACTTCTATTCTTCCCTGAAGCACAGGACTGAAATTCAAGAGAGCTGCAGCAATCCTGGAATGCGGAGAGAAGACCACGGAGGTGTTGGTACTCCAAGGCAACACACTGCCAAGGGACTTGTCAGTGGAGTTAGCAGGTGGAAGGAACTCGTAAGTAGCTTTGAGGATTGTGGTTAGGAGCAGGCAGATCTGAAGAGCTACTTTATATAAAGACATTGGTACTCTAGTATAATAGGAACATGATTTCATCCTACTTGCTTCTCTTTATATCCCACAGGAATACCATTCTGTCACATCCCTTCGAAGGGTACCCTTCACCTGCTATCACACTTCAGAGCTCCAGCAGATTTTCACAATCTGCTCGGCTTCTCTTGGCTGCCCAGATCCCGAGCTGTCTCAGCCTGAAGGATTCAGGCTGTGCGGTCCCGGTGAGGCTGCCCGGTCCCGGTGAGGCTGCCTGGTCCCGGTGAGGCTGCCCGGTCCCGGTGAGGCTGCCCGGCCCCAGTGAGGCTGCCCGGTCCCGGTGAGGCTGCCCGGCCCCAGTGAGGCTGCCCGGCCCCGGTGAGGCTGCCTGGTCCCGGTGAGGCTGCCCGGTCCCGGTGAGGCTGCCCGGTCCCGGTGAGGCTGCCCGGCCCCAGGAAGCTCGGTAAGAGTCTGACACAGGGCTCAGGTGTCTGGCCAAGATCCCAGNCCCAGTGAGGCTGCCCGGCCCCAGTGAGGCTGCCCGGCCCCAGTGAGCAGCCCGGCCCCGGTGAGCTGCCCGGCCCCGGTGAGGCTGCCCGGCCCCGGTGAGGCTGCCCGGCCCCAGTGAGGCTGCCCGGCCCCAGTGAGCAGCCCGGTCCCGGGGAGCTGCCCGGCCAGCGCGGGTCTCGCCCCGCAGGAGCCGCTCCCCGCAGGAGGGTCCCGCAGCTCCGCGCTATTTACCTTTCCCCCACAAGGTGGTAGCGCAGCATCAGAGTCATGTAAACACGGGGCTTGGCTGAGCTCTCGCCCTCTCACCTGGCACACTCCTGCTGCTGGACAAACGCGGGCAAGTCTCTTCCTTTTCACTAGCTTTCTAATTAAAGAACAGCCCGATACATCTGTGAGAATAAATATTTGAGAATAAAGAAGATATATCTATTCCATGCCCCAAAGGGCTGTGTGGAAAGAATGAGTGATAGGGATAAAATCATGTAATCCAGCCTGGAGATTTTGACTTGTTTCCAGAACTGGGGAGGCCAGATATTATCAAATGCTGCTCCAGGGGAGTGAACCAGTCTGGGCTGCAGTGGTCCCTATCATCACACTCGAGTGGTTGCAGAGTGTGACAGATTGTCCTTTCAAGGCCCACCAGAATCCATGTCCAGCAGCTTGTAGGACAATAAGTTGGGCATCTCTCTAGTGAAATATTTGAGCTCTTTTCTAAAACTAGTTTAAGTGACAGTTTTCTCCTTGGCACTACTCCTACTGCTACTGGTTTCAGACAGCCCTATCTGAGACCTTCTCTGGCTTTCCACCGCTTGTTGCTACACACCACACCTGGCAGCACAACTATGACAGAGCAGGAAACTACTTTGCCATTATTATTCCCTCCATTATGCAAACTGCTTTTCCTCAACCAAATTCCAGCAGTCCAACACAGATTCATGAACTGCTGTGCTATCAAAAGCAAGCAGACATTCTATCTACAGCAGAAGAAGTGGGCAGAAACATTAAACCAGATCTTAGCCCATGAATCCATTTTGTCATTGACCTGTGCTTAGTTTCAGATGTTGAACAAGCTCTCCTGCCAGGATTTGTTTCTTATTTTTCAGTCTGTTGTACTACATGAGGTAAATTTTACTTTAAAACATGTAATTTCCCTTAATGTTACAGAGATAACTACTTAGAAAGTTACTTAATAAAAATATAGATATTCATTTTCATACCATAATTAAAATACAGCTAAGCCAATTAATACCTCATGAGGATTCATACATGTTCAAATCTTCTTCATAGAATTAGGTCACAAAATAAAAGTAAATTTAAAGAGTGTTTATTTGTAGGGAGTCTTTTGTTCAATGGAAAATCAGAGTAAACCCTTCAAGGTGACACCCTACCCCAGTGAATTGTGCTCAATTCTGGGATATGTAACCTAATCAAGTAGTGATTTTTGCTGGAGATGAAGAGGTAGGAAGAGAGCTTTATCTCCTAATTAGCGTGGTCTCTCTCATCATATCACATAACAGTTAGGGTTGACTAGTAGGGCACTCTCTAGACTGTCTAAATTGTTCTCTCTTTCAGCATGTCACTAAAGTGTTTCTAGCCTCAAAGCCAGGCTGGGCTTCCTACACAGGGTTGAGAGGACATGGTGTATCAGCACCAAAGAGATCAAAAGAAGATTTTCAACCTGGCTGGTCCCAGAACCTAGTACTGGAACAAAACTCCCTTCTTTGAGTTTATTTACCAGTAATTCTAGGTGGTCTCCCATTAAAGTGCTGGAAAGTCCTCCTCAGTGTCACAGTGATTGCCCACAGTCCTTACAACCAAGACAAAGTGTTGCACAAACTACGCAGGCTCTTTGTTCCCCAGGGCATCACTGCATACCAGGGGTCTGACTATAATCCTTCATCTCTTACTGTAACTGTAGTAGGAGGCCTTTATTTATGTCAGAGTACCCTTATAGTGTGCTGATAAAGTATTACAAAGTATTCCAAGGAATGGACATAGCTGTCTCCAAGAAATGGAACTGCTGTTCCAGTCTAGTGAAACTATCCAGTTGAGTGAAAATACTTGTACTGATAAAAACAGTTTTGCCAGTATGCTCATGCCACTGCTGGGGATCTCACACTCCTGACAGACAGAGCCTGGCAGGAATTTGGAGCATAGATGGGACCTAGATCAAATGAACAATTTGGAGTTAGAATCATATAGCAATGATCCTTTCAAAATGCTTTTATTTACAGAAACCCTCAACTGAAATAAAGTCTCTTAACAGGAGGTCTTGATTACTTTTCCATTTCCAAACCACACATCATAATGGGGATGGAATGTGGTTACCATAAATTGTTGGTTTACAAATCATCACTGACTTGTTAGCAACAGCTAGGATGTTAGAATTAGAGCAACAGTTTGGATGTGATAAAATAGCAAGGGCCCATTTTTTATGGCATTGTTGGAAAGAATATAAATGAATTCTTCCCAGAGATTCATTGTGGTGGTTGTGGTAAATAACAAAGTGCATATTTCCTGCTGATGTTGAAATCAATGGGAGTTTTATTATTGGCATCAGGAGAAGCAGGATTTGACCTTAATAGAAAAGAGAAGAGGAAAAGAGAAAAAGATGAGGAAAAGAGAAGAATGAGATTGGGAGTTCTAAAATGACTACTGCTTCAGTTGCCTGGGTGGAGGCACTTCAAAAGAGGAGTCTGAAAAGCAGAAAACTGGGGCCCCTTTTCATTTGGATTTTCATCCAAATTTTCCTTTGAATTCTCTGTTTGTGAACGTTGAAAGTGAAGAATAACCAGTAATAGTCACTGCTGAAAATGCAGATTTTCAAATTTTCCTTTTTCTTGGAAATGTTTCTGCCTCTCTAATGGCACTGAAGAGTTCACTTATTGAGTTTTGGATGAATCCTATAAAAATCAGCAAAGGTATTCTTTCAGGGAAGGCAGCACAGACTTCCTCCCATACTTGTATTTAAGTCATGACACAGATCACTATTGGTCATTTAACCTTGCTCAAGGAAAATACATATTTGTTAATAAGCAGGATTAGCAACCTTCCCTCTGTCATAGAGACAAACCTTTACGAGAGAAATTCTGCATTAGAAATAGAGAAACTAAGATCTAGACCAAAAGAGGTCACTACACTCATTTAACTCACAGACTAAACTGTGAGTAAAATACATAAATACAAATTTATGTATTTCTCCTCAAGTCCTCTATAAAAACAGATTAAACCAAACAAAATAACAATGCATTCTTACCACACGGGATAACACATTACGAATTTTTGTTATCACATGCTATCAAAGCACTCACCAGCATCACAATTCCTAAATATAGTTGCTTGAACATTTAAAAGAGCAAAACCTAGTGCTCTGAAGTTGACAGATGAATTTCCAATTTCTTCAGAGACCAGAAGAAAAAATTAGCTGAGTAAATTTAGTATCAGTGGTGTTATGTTAGTCTCTATTACCTGAACATTTAGTATTTGCCCACTTTGATTTTACAAACATATAAGCATCCCTTCCAAAGTGTAGATGTCCTTAAAAATAGCTATTGGGGATTGTCAATAAATATACAAAAAGCAAGTCCAAAAATAATTCTTCTGCCCTAAAGAAGTATCTGTCCATTTGACTGATATTTTATCTTTCAATATTCACAAACCACACCTCCTGAAATACAAGTTTATATCAAAGGACTCTGATCTTTAAAGTTCACCAAACTACTTCTCAAGGAGTAATGCAAGGCAGGGTAAATTTAACCTTTGCTAAAACCCCTCAGAATCTGAAGTATAAATTAAATGGGCCCTAGCACATGGAGAGGGAGAAGCCAAGTCTAAAACCACTTTTTTTTTTTTTTTTAATTGTAAAGGGCTAATAGAGTTCATTATTTCCCATCTGACATAATTTTTTGGTTATCCATGCAAAATTCTCATTAGTTGCAAGACAGCCCTTTAAATAGCATATGTTGTCCCAGTCAGATGAGGAAGGTTTGTAAAAGAAAGTTGTGTCTAATAAATATCATTTTTCCCTAACAGATTCGGACATTGCTGAACTCGAGCATGTAGGAGCAGATGATCCAACTGAGATTATCACAGGAAGTCCAAGAGGAATTTAATCCAATCCTTTGAACTTTCAGTAAGATTACTTAACTGTGAAGTACACAAGGAACTATGTTGACTATTGTCCTATTTGGCTAAAGACCCCTCTTTACCAAAGCATTCTCTAGAAAATGATCCTTTATCCCCAAAGTGTTTCTGTTGTTGCTTGAAACAGAGAGCAAACGCAACTGAGACTGATTTTGAAGGAAGCGCTCTTATTGAAGAAGATACTGTGTTCTAGAAAATCCTGACCAGTCAAAATTTCCCCCTCCCGGGCAAAAGGTAGTTTATGCTTCTCAGAAGATGCACTTAAATATATTAGCTCCATTTATCTTTTGCCTGGATAACTTACTCCAAATCTAATCACTGGAGTACACCAGCTCTCTACAGAAGAGGCAGCCATTGCCCATTTCACTAATGTAACAAATTTGTTTCTCATTCCTCCAGAGTGGAACAGAGGTCTTGGGTCCAAAATAGCAAAATGCATGCACTCCACAACAGGACAACTTTCCCTCATCAGTGCACTGCTCTGCAGAGGCTTTCAGAAAGAAGTATTTCAGCTTCACTACTTTCCCCTGACCACTGGGATGTTCAGAAGAGAAGCATTTGAACTGGTACCTTGGAGGTGTGTGGTCTCCTTTTTTTGGAAATGGTTGTGATTGCACTAGTTTGAATTAATTACTGTGGCTATTTACACACTGAATAAGTCTGGACTATGGTTTTACTAGGTGGTACAATTTCCCAGACTCATAATGAATAAAGGTACTGCTATTAGAGGAATTTCAAAATGTTTCAACATTTTTCTACGTGGCAGATGGAACGGTTTTGCAATGTAAACTTATCTAACCTAAGCTGCCTTGCTTGCACACCGGTAGCTGACTCACTGTGCCAGCAAGGAGCTTAGTCAGGGCTAATTTGCCCATCTTGGGAGAGTTTTGCAGCCTCTGCTAAATTTCCTGCTCCCATGACCAGAACTGCCCTGCTGGCACTCATCTGCAGCTGGAGGCCAAGTCTGCCACCTCCACAATTCAGTGGAATCACAGCTCACTCAAAACTCACTCCTAAGACGTCCTAGTATGTGTCACAGTAATACCAGTTAATAAAGTACTTGCCTGACCTATATCAGTTTTGTTAAGAGCAAAACAGCACAAAAAAGCAGGCTTGGGACTCTAGGAAATAAGGACCAGAATATTTAGAGGTATGCAGACCTTCTGCAGCATTCAAAGTTGTCTTTGAATGTACTAAAATTGAGGCATAACAAAGTAATTTTCTCTAACAAGGTGTTCAAGTCCACTTTTCCCTAATTCTGTACTTTTCATATATTTATTTGCCAGTACCTGAACAGTTCAAATAATGACATTATTTCAGGATTATCCTTTTATCCACAAGCACTTCCACATCCCCTTTCAACTACACTTTTTCCTTGGACTCAATTCTTGGTTAGAGCATTCTGGGGCTTAAGAGAAATGTGTAAGTGCTTCTTAAAAGCCACAGCTAATGCAGGGAACTACTCCCAGTCAAGCAGTGGGCTGGGAGAAAGGTTCATTGAGACGTCATGTTTGGGAGGCACTGAGGGAGGCAGCCAGCACAATCCTAAGGATGCCCAAGAAGTTGACAGACTGTAGAAACTCCTGTGGAGATCAGAAGATGCTTCAAACTGAGTGCTTCTCACATCCTGCTCGATGGATATAATAGCAACTGTTCAGGCATCTGGTAGCCTTTGGCTATGTGCTTCCAAAGGAGTGTGTAGTGCTGCACACTGGTCAAACAGCACAAAGGCTCTTGGGTCTGTGGTTTATAAACAATGCACAAGCCAGAATGTGGTCTTTGGAAAGCTGACGTGTTTCTAATGTATGTAGACATTGTTGTAAGTAATATCTAAATTATAAACACTTCCCCCTCCCCTCCACCTTCCAAACCGAGTCCAAAGTACCAATCCTTGCCAGGGACAATAAAGTAACCCAAGTTTGGAGCTTCTCGGTCAAGATAGTTTTGAGTCATGACATTTCTTTAAAATAAACATCAGGAAATTATCCAAAAAAGTGAGATCACCCTACTTTGTAAAATATCTTTCTATCTCCCAAATATTTTGCCTAGTATCAGTCACGTTTTCCTGGAAAATTGTAGTCTGACATAGAAGTTTCCCTGTGCAATTTCAGGTGGATTAATTTCAGTTTGAAAAAGTCAGGGTAGGGTTCAAAATTGACCTTAAAATGGAAGATCTTGCATCAAACTAAATTATGGAAGAGCTTCTCCGTCTCATATTTTCTCTCAGCCACCTCACATTAACTATGCCTCTACTACCGAACATCCAAGCCAAAAAAAAATAACCAGAAAGACAATAGCCAAAGCCAAACCAAAAGACAAGAAGCAGAGACAGCAGAGAAGAGAAAGAAGAAAACAAAACTACCTCACATACAGACCTTGCTCTGAAAGCTCAAAGATAAAAACACCCTCTGTAAAAGTCAGTTTTAACATTAGGGATGACAGAAGCAGCAGAGGTGGCAATGCACCTAACCTGACCTACTGTAAAGGAAAGCTAATAAAAAAGATGGGAAAAATATGAGAAACTTGTCACTTTAAAAGGAAAAGGTAATTTTTAATACTGAATGTACGCAAACCAACAAAATATTCAGAAGTTGGATCATATCCATATCAAAGTAACTCAGCCTGTAATTACATGAGAATCAAAAAATGTGTAATGAAGATACTGTAGAATACTTTGTCGTCTGTGGAGCAAGCCCATTCATACCACCAAATAAGGAAAAAAAGTTAAAAGGAGTTCAGCTTAATGATTACTGAAAGGGAACCATAATGGATGGGAATGGGCAGAACTGGGAAGGAGAGAAGAAAATGGGCTGAAATTAACAGCAGTAGTGAGTGAAAAACATGAGGCAGCCGTATATGAGACTGACACCTGAGAAAAATCTGTTACAGACAGTCCCATCTTGAAGAAATCCCCATATCTAAGTTTGCAGAGAAAGGTAATACTTTACATCAGTACAAATAATACCATTAAAAAAAGAATAAATGTGCCCTCAGAAAAATAGATCAACCTTCAGGTATGAAATGGGAAAAGTATTTGAAATGCCCTGAAGGTTGTCTGAATTTCCAACAATATAAGTTGGAGTAACAAGCATACCACCGCTTCCCACATAATTAATTTTGCCTGTATACTTAACCCCTCATAGTTATATCAGTAAGTCATTAGGAGTCCCCAGAACAAAGGGTCAGATATGAATTGATCCATCTGCACTGAGTAAAGTGAATCCACATCTAATTTCGTCAGCTGATAAATCACTTCAGATCGGCCCAGCAGCAATGCTTAGTCCTAATTCCTTGACAGGGAATGCTACCAAATATGCTCATTATGTATCTTTGCTCCAATTGAAGAGAAAGGAAACCTTAACCTGTCATTTTGGTGGGAGAAGCCAGCTTTGAAAAATCATACCTATATCAAAGAAAAAAATTCTGTGCCTTAAAGATATATCCCATCATTTAAAAATCAAACACCAGAGTGCATGAATTAACTCCTTTTTTGTGTATACAGCATCAAATATTTTTCACATTTCTTCATCAGACTTTGAACTGTATATCAAAAGAAAAGAAATGGAGAACAAGAAAGCAAAGTTATCACTAGCTATTCTACCCAATGGCAAATGGAAGGATCAAGCCAGCCAGGTAAAGCCTACTATGTCTGCACATTTATACTAAAGGGACAGCGACCTTCTGTCCCCAGAAGCAAGTTCTTTTTCTTCTTGTAGACACCTCATTTAATCTTGGAACATAAATAATAATCCTGAACTTCCTGCATTTCACCCTAGATCTACTACTGCCATCAATGGGAGCTTTGAAAGAGGAAGGCATAGACACTGGGATAAAGCTTTAGGCTGAAAGATCTATGTCCAAGTCCATGCCATTTTCTACATCTGAAAAGTGCCCACAATTTTATGGGTAACCTACAAAAACAATTGAAGTAACTGTGGTGGTCGTACATTGTTGAGATTGTTTTCTTTCCACTCCCCAACCTCATAATGTGAACAGAGCCATGACAATGATCTATTAGAGCTGGGGCCAGACTCGCTACAGAAAACTTAATATGACCTGAGAACCAAAATGCAGTCACAGCCCCAAACAGCTCAGGGGTGAGATGGATTCTTTGTCCATCCTGTATCCTAAATGCATCCAAATTTTCCAGTATCCATATATCTATGTGGACCACTTAACTCCCTCTTGAACTCTCCTTAGTGCTTTAAATTGCTTGTCAGCCACATGTGAAAATATCTAACTCATCTAAAATTTACATTCCAGGGTTTTCTATAACTGATTTCTCTCAGCAGTAAGGCTTCTTCTGATCTCAGTGCCACTGAAATGGTGGGACTGAATTTTGCACAGATACTCAGAATTGTGTGTGGAGCAGAAATGTAATGAGCCCTGGGTCAGAATTTCAGCAGTCCCTTATTCAGGGCATCAGCATGGGGGAGGGCTAGCTGAGATAAAAAGGTAATCTGATTGCTGCTGCTGGCAAGAGGACAGATGTCAACATTGCCTCTCCTTTTCACGGAAACATACCTGGCTTTATGAAGAATAGGTTAGCAAATATTTTAATACAAATAGCAACCTCAGCAGAGCTGCCAAAGCAGGCTCCAAAGAGACTGACTTGTTTACAGTCTGGACCAGTGCCTTAAAACCTGACGTGCTTATTCAACAGAAAATTAACCCCAAAACAGGTATCATCATTACTGTAGGGAGAAGCTCCAGAAAGATAATATCCTAACTCACTCCAGCTGAACTCAGGACATTGTCCACTTTTTTATCACATCCAGTGCCCTTGTAGTCGTTCAGAATAATCAAGCAAATAAAGAAGTGAGGTATATCACATGTGATAGCTTGGGTCACTGGGACTGCATGGATATTTGGATCTGGCCCAACATCCTGCCTTCACTTGAATTACTACTGGAATCTAACTTCTTGCATTGTTTTAAGAGACTAAATTGTTCTCTCTATGTACTTTGGTCATCCCAACTCAGATGTTATCTTTTTCTTTCCCACTCTAGTTTTTGGCCACAAAAAATATACATGAAGAGTGCTGAGAAGAGCCTTTCTTTCCCAGCTGCAGTGTGTGTATATGTGTCTGTGTTACTGTTCTCTCTGAAAAGCCTTTGACAAAAAGTGCATTTATGAGGTCATTTGTTTAAGAGGTTACTAGTGATCCCCATGAAAAAGAATTCTGATATAGATTTGACCTTGGAAGCAGCACTAGTAATACCAAACTGGTGTGGTAAAAAATGAGAGAAGAAATTGTTTCCAAAGCTACCGTAGACGTGCAGTGACAGAAGAAACTTTCACAGGGAATGGTTACCGCTCTGGAAAAGTCACTCCACAGAGGTGTCATAATCTTTAGCTATCAAATTTCTTGGAAGATGGAGAGAAAGACTGGTCCTGGAATTATTATGCAAAGGCCTGTAATACTGGATTTACCAACAGAGACCTCGGTCAGCTTTCATTGCATAAGTCAGTTCATTTTGAGCAAGCCCATGGGGGAACAAGAGAGACAGCTGAAGAGGGACAGGTATGAGCCAGGGCTTTCCTGTGTGAGCTGGTGCCAGAACTGTGTCAGACCACACATTGCCCTGCATCCCAGCTCTTTGTGAGAAACTGACCTCAGAGCTCCATAGAACCTGGAAACTAAAGTAACTGGATTTGGATTTCATGCAGGATTTAATTTTTTCCCCACAAAACTTTTACTGAAACTAAAAATAAAAGGTGTTTTTTTTTCTATCCCAGACCATTGGTATCCCAGACTACTGGGATAATACCACTAATATTAAGAGACAGTAGTTGTGATCTAGAAGAAAGGGTGAACAGAGGGAGTTATTGCTTGAGATGGCCAAAGGGAATCATAATTTGTGATGGCCACCCTTGATGAGCAGCATGGAGGGACATGACTTCCTTGTTCAACTATTCTTTCAGTGAATTTGTAGCTGGACTTTCTGGGGCTGCAGCAGCTTGCCATTTCTTGTAGGGATGGAATAACAATCCCTGTCAAAGCGGTGAACTCTTGAAGAATGCAAAACTGAAGCAACCTGCAGGTATCAGGCCACAGGAAGTTTTGTGGATCAAACACGTAATCCAGCTGGGATTTCGTGAGAACTGGAAGCACATACTTGCTTCCACTGAAAATACCTGCCAGCGCCTCCTTCATACTGAAAGTAGAACAGAATGCAATGACAACTGAAAGGTTTCTCACAGTAACCTAAAAAGCTTTTAAAAATAATTGTATCCCTTTTGTAGAATTCTGTAACTGTTTAAAAACAAAACAAGAAAAAACCCAACACTGCTTCCTCATGTGTCTGTATTTTAGAGTACTATCCACAGAAACTTATTAGAGCCAACCCCACTAAATTCCTTACAATTGTCCCACAAGGGTGGTTCTCAAAGTAAAAAAGGAGAAAAATGCTGGCAGTTTATGTAATTTCTTTTTCACTTATACAATCTGAGAAGATATCTAAGAATTTTAGTGGTGTACAAGTCTCTGGTGACAAGAATCAGTCTGGAAGAGCCTTCTCTACAAACTCAGCCTTGTTTATCTGCCTGTCCTCTTGTACACCCTTGTCCCATCTCTCTCTCTGCTCCCGAGAGGACAAAGAGAAAAATACATCCTCTTGAAAATCAACAGACTGAACTAGAATGCAGTACTTGAATGACTGAAAAAAACCCAAACCCCTTATACATTTTATAAGAGTTGATTCTGGGTCTGTTTTGCTTGAAAGAAATATTTGCCTACTGAAAAGTCTGGCTGGGTTCAAGTGGCATAGTGAAATGTTCCCTAAATAATCCTAACTCAATTCCCTGCCTTTCCTATAAGAAGCCCAGTTACTTTAACCTTTTCTATCAAAACTCAGGAGCATAGTCCCCTCCTCTCTCCTTTGCACCACACATAACCTGGAATTCTGGACCTTCCAGTGCCCAACTTGTACCCTTCTTGACATTTAGTGTGTTAATGACTCTATCCCTGTGCTATTTTTCTTCCTTACATGTCTGATACAAAATGCTAAGCATCCTTGTGACCTTTAAACATCCTGCACTGTTCTCCAGCTCCTCTTTACATGATCCAGACTCATCTCCACCTCCTGTTAGAAAATCCTGTGCATGCACCTGGCTTGATTACATCAGCATATCTGCACACAGCTGAGCTAACACATTTCAATGAATCTACTGCAGAAGCAAAAGGAAATGAATACCTCTCCTTCTGTCTGCAATCCAACAGTTGTTCCACCATGGTATCAATCTGGCATTAAATGAGAGTTATCTGTAAATGCATTTCACTGCTACCTGGATGCCATGATGTGGAGCTGGAAAAGAACCAGCCTGACAAGATTTTGATGGTGGCCACTAAAAAGTAAAACTATTTAATTTCCCCACACTTGAAACATCACCTCTTTTTGGTATTATTCTTTTTCCTTCCTTTTTTACTAGATGAAGTAGCCACATATTCCAGGAGTAATATGTGAGTAAAGCAAAAGTTGTATGAGACACATACCTCTCCCTGAAAGTTGCTACAGAATTCACACTACATGCAGACAGCCCAGCAGTTGTATTTCTCAAGAATACTGCTGCACATATGCATTTTTCAATATTATTTTACTGTACATGAGTAGGTGATGCCTCTTTCTTTAACCTGGACAATGAGCACTCAGGAATCACCAGAAAGAGTCACAAGAGTCAGATAAATGCATATGCACAGCAGTGCATTTGATCTGTAATCCTGGGTTTCACTGTGCATCCACAGACCTCTTTCCCTCAAGGGCAGAGGCCTAATGGATTGCAAGGTTCTGTAAATAACTTCTGATTTCTGCTGAGCAGGACAGACCAGTGAACAGAAACACGTGTTCATCACAGGCACTGGTTAGCTGAAGAGAGCAGCACTGTAGGAAAACAAGTGTTACTAGGAATAAAAAGTCTGCTCCAGATTCTTGTTCTGAACTTGACACCAGAGTACCAGGAAAGTCTCTGTGGGAGAGTTTGGAAGACTTCAATTCATGTCTGGTGGAGCGAACAGCAGTTGTAAAATCTCAAGAGATGAGGGCCACCCAGAGTGTGTCAGTTTATCAACTGGACAGCTGTGGTGTGTCTACAAATGCCAAACCATAAGCACATTGGCAGGGGAAGCAGGAATTGTGGCCAGCACACAGAGAAGTGGCTCCTGAGTTTCTGAATTGCCTGCCTCTCTGAGCACACTTATGGTCCAGGCCAGCCTGCCAGCTCCAGCAAGACTACTGTGCAGCAGCCCAGGGACATAAACACACCTCACACCTGGCTCCACAGCCTTTGGGAAGCGCTCTGGATTACAGAGGATGGCAGTTTGGGAATACTGCAGCACTCAGCTCAAGTCCCTGCACTGCACAGGGCAGCAAGATAACAGTGTAAATGGAAAGACCTTAAAGCCTTATTGCTCTCCAGCTCAAGAAGCAGCCTGTTGGGAGTTATGAGCAGCATAAGAAAGAGACTTTCTGGTGGTAAAGAAACCACTGAGAGACTTGATCAAATGCTTTGGGATCATGGGACTGGGAGCAGAGCAGTAAAGCCACTTTTATGCATCAAAGTGGTCTTACCAAAACAAAGAGAGCCACGGGTTTTCCATGCAAAAGAGCCACTTGTTGCTGATGGCCATATTTTATACCCAGTGGAAAGCTGAAAGTCAAAACAAATTACTCAGGAGAAGAAGGCAGAGAATCATGCCTCAAAGAGAAATTTGGACTACAGTGACAAGAAAACAAATGTCAACAACAAATGCCCGAGGAAAGTGAACATGAAGTAGATTAAAAATTGAATGAAGTGTTATCTAAAATATACGTAGTCTTTTATATCAGTCTTAGGTGTCCTTCAGGTACTTTATAAGCTGTAATATTTATGATTATTGGTTATTTATAGTTGTAGCAGTAGCAACATTAACGTATCAATAGGCTGTGAAGAGATAAACTCTATTCCTAGTGTATTCCTAATGGAGTTCTAGTAAATCCTAGAGCATTCCACCTAATCCATTCTGAAGACATTGACTAGGGCTTAGTTTGTCAGGATTTTAAGCTCCTAACACTAGAAGCAGGGACAGAGGATTATCCAGGCTTCTTAAAATCCTCTAACCAGTTAAAAGTTTGGCAAAGGAAAGGAAAAATAGATTCTGTTGTTGCTGATCCTCAGGCCTGGCTTCATAGGCTGCTAGATATTCTGGCCATAAGCTTTCTCTTGCTTTTCTCTACTTTCTTTGGAGAAGAATACAAACCAGCAGGCTGGGATGCACCCTGGAAATGCCTGAAGCTCTTCTGAGGTTAAGAGAGGGAAGGGGGTCTTTAGAGACTGACCAAAGAGCCAGTCTGCTTCTCCACTGACTTTGCTTTCCTAGTGAAGAACCAGTGTCCCAAGAATCCTTGAAGTAACATAGACACTTCTTCCCTGCAAATATGGGAAAACAGCCTTGGGGTATTTATATCAACCAGGAATCAAGGGCTGATGGTGCTGGATCCTATTGATAAAAGCTTGCAGCAATGACTCCAGTGTCCCAAACTACAGCTTACGGTGACCACCATGACCACAACACAGGGAACAGCATAGACGGATTTAAATTTATTTCCCAGAGAGAAGACAAATCAACACGTGGTCCATATCAGGTGCATTGAACTAAATGACCATTAAAGGTCCCTTCCAATCCAAACCATTATGTGATTCTATGACCTCTCTAGTTCTTCAATAGGCATTCTGGAGCTAACAGTTTGAGAGATGGGCACCAGAGCCCATTAGGAAGCAAGTGGTGATTTGGGATATCGGGGAACCTCGAGGTGTGTGCTGCTGAGAGAATGAGGGCAGCCCCGACAGTTCTGCTTTTCTGTTCCTCTACACCTGTGAGATTTTGTGTGTATTTCTTAATAACTGAGCCCTGGCCCAGGCAGCTCCTTCAGGCTGGTGTGAGGGAAGGCAGGCAGGGCTAAGCAGGGTCCAGCTCTGGCCAGGAGCACAGCTGCCAAGTGGCACTGTCAAGGAAAATGTTAATCGCCTAAAAAACGTGGTCCTGACACTCAGCTGATGAATTCTTTCTCTCTGTCAATCTGTCAAAAGAGGATGTGGGACCATCAGACACAGGGTGACTCTGGTCATCTTAATCCCTGGATCTCTCCTCATAATAACGGCAAAGCATGAAAAAGAGGGAAAGGTCACCAACAAGCCAACCTCACTTGTTAACTCTTTACCTGTAAACCCACACCTATTAAAATAATCTTTTGGCTACTGAGATCAGAGTGAACAGCTAATTCTGCCTAAAAAGTGAGAAGAGAATGAACTTCCCCTTTGAAACTTGTATGGGAATATCCAAGCACTGCCTTGCAAAAGAAAAAATATCTATCTTATTAGCTACAGCTCATAGCTATGGATCTTGTTAGGACAGCTCTAACAGGACAGAAGGGGGAAAAGGTTGATGATTAGTCATTAATGAAATGCAGCCACAAAGAAGATGACAGCTATGACTCTAGCATGTCTTGCTAAAGAAAGGGAAGAATTATTGTCATTCCAGAAAGCTTTGGCAAGCCTCCACTCTGAATACAATACAATTCTGACCACCCATGTGTGGCAAAGATGTATTGAAAATGAAGCAGGTACAGAGAATGGCCAAGCAGCTGATCATAACCTGCCTTGCAGAATACCTAAATCAACTGTTTGCTCAGCCCAGCAAATCAAAAGGTGCTGGATGTCCCAATGACTGCAAGTTCAGCAGACATAAGGAGAAAAACTAGACAGAGAGAAGAAATTTGAACATCTAGACAATAACAATCTCAGTGGTTGCACATTGTCTAGGACTAAAGTTAGGCTGGAAATTAGAAGGTTTCAAATTTCTGGAAGAGTAAATGGAGCTTTGATGCTCCTCTCCCTGCAACCCCCACTCTTTGCTGTTCATGGTCTCACTGAGTGGCTATTGATATTTCTCCTATGTAAATATGAGCCAAGATTACAAACTGGCTATTGGACTGAACAGGGCCTCCAGCTTCCATGGTTCCCAGGAAATCTAGTGAGTAGCAGCTGCCCTTCTGTGCACTAGGAGTGAGCAGGTTTTTCCCTGCCTGTTGATCCATAGTAAAGTCAAAGGGCTCACATTCCATCCCACTCTTTCAGATTTACAGAGCAGAACAACACCTTTTTTTTTTTTCCCTAAAAAGGAAACCCCACAACTCTTGATGGCAAAACCACAATGTTTTTCCCTTTAACAATGAAAAAGACATAAGGGAAATCCAATTTTTAATAAGGACATATAATTCAACAAAATTCAACAGAAGCACTGAAGATGAGGCTGAATACTTTAAGATTATCCACCATAGGGTACAAAATATGTTTCTTACTAACTGCTCCATACCAATTATTGAAATATCATTCATCCATTCCATGCACTGCTTTCATCTCTGCCACACATTACAAAATGTAATACCAAAGATAAGAAACCATCAACAGCAGCTCCACTGCTCTCAATAAATCTGCTTTCTACTCCTCTAAGAAACAACACCAATATCTGGATTAATCTTTAGTTATTTGCAGTAGCAAATCCTTATCTTTAGTCTGAATTCTGGAATAAACTCATATAAACAAAGACTAGTGTAAGAATATTGAAATGCATTTTATTTATCGCGTGGGAACATGCTATTTTACCCATAAACAAGGGAACTGTCATATTTAAATATTTCTCTAGTACAGTCATAAATCTCTCATAAATGAATGTCTGAGCTCTCTCTTTGAACTTTATCTTGCCTTTACAGAAATGTATTGTCTATGGTTTGGTCTTTTGATTTTTATTTTTTTTTAGTCATTTGCTTGCAGTTTTGCCTGCTGTCTTACAGTTATCTGTGACTTGTTGAGTAATCCTATGTTACAAATGAAGATATTATGTCTACAAACATAGGTATATAGGAGGATTTACACTGGAAGTACTATATACTCATCATTCTTTTCCCAGGTCCAGTGAAGTTAGAAGCAGTTTTTACCCACTCCATTTATTTTTAATTAAGTCTTCTAAGAGAGACTGGTTTTTTTCCCCCTCCCATCTACAGAGTTGATGTGTAATATAAAACTCAGGAAAGTTTTTAGAATGTGTTCCGTAGGTCTGGTGAAATGCTTATCTCCATAGCTGAATACTACAGAAAAGAAAAGAAAAAAGAAAAAAAGAAAAAGGAATTTCACTAGAGTTTACTAGGTCTTGAAAAAGCTAGTACTGGAATCCAAGAATTTCACTCATTAGGCTGTGGTACTATTTAAAATACGGTAGCAAAAAAAGTTAAATGGTGATACAGTGCAATTTATTCTGTACTGCACCAATAACAAAAGCCTGGAAAGCCAGCCACTTAGAGGAAGGTTCTCCTCTAATCTGTATATTCCATACATCTCCCCTGAAATCTCTAAAATTTCTATAGGGAGGTTACATTTTCACTTTCTGTTCTGCTGTCCATGATCAAATGTTATAGTGCCAGACGTCATTGCTGGCCATGAAACAATTCGTATGTTCGGAAAATGAATGGATAGTATTGCAATGAGACAAAAAGCTGAAGGTGAGAAAAAACAACTCTATTAACAGCACCAGAGAAATCACATTCTCAAAGGCCAGTATCACTGTAAACCCTGTTTCACCAGAGCTTTTAAAAGGACTGTATCACAAGACACTAGTCTTTGCCAGAGACAATCCCACTCGTTATCCAAGGCGAAGCCTGCAGGGAAAGGTTGGATAGACTCTGCTGGCTTACTGAGGTAAGTGCCTTGTTATCCATTCTGACATAAAGGAAGTGGGAGTGATCCCCCAGAGAAGGGCTCCAGAAGACAGACGGAAAAATCTGGCGGAAGGAACCCTACAACCAGACAATCCTGGGGAATTGGCAGAATATATGTGAAATTATTGCTAATGCATGGATGAGTAACAAAAGCCCAGAACAGATGGACCCTTGGGATCCAGCTTCAGATCCAACAGGAGTACCATTCCCCATCCTCTAATCCCATGCCACCCATCCCAGGCACTTTGAGGGCCAGTAGGGTTCTCTTCCGATGTACTTGAAGCACATCCAGCCATTGTCACTTTCAATACCTCTTTGTAATGTCTGCAGCCCTAAAGTCACCCTGTAGGAAGCAGCTGCTGTATGAAAAGGGAATGAGCTTCCACTGGAATAAAAAACCAAAACTGAAAAACTTCTATTATTGAAAATAGTCATTACTTCACCACTCAGCACGTTAAAACATTAAATACAGGAAATTGTCTCTCTCAAATCTAGTATTGCTAGACATATCAAAAAATACACAGTATTTGCAGGGCTACATCTTTGCTGCTCTCAGTTTAAAAACCAATTTGGGCCCCCTGTGGAGGAAGCAAGAAACCCTCTGAGTACATCTAATGACATGGACAGCAGCAAGGCCAGTAGTCCGCAATGAAGACAATTAGGAAGGCCAGAAAAGCTTCATTAAAGATCAGGTCATTCCAATGGTGACAATCATGCTTTCCATAGAAGACCAGAGCCCAAGATAAATTTCATGCAACCATCTGTGTAGGTCATCAGAAAAAAATATCAAATGATGCAACAGAAAACCTAGCACACCTTCTAGATCATCTCAGTTCCTACAGTACTACCAGTGCCTTATCGTGATGTGGAGATCTTTCCAGTCATGCTCTCTAAGGAGTATTTACCTCAAAATGGTTATTGCAAACTACCACAAAGCACAAGCCAAAAACTGTGAAAAAATGTCAAAAAGAATTTTCCTCAAAAGGCACTAAAGCTTGAGTAAGAATTCCTTGCAGCTTTCTTTTCATCCTTTTCTTTTGGCCATGTTTCTAGGTCTTTTCTCTGCACATGAACTGTCCTAACTCAAAGCCAATGAATAAATAAATGTATGCACACAAATCTAGTAGGGTTACTGAATGTTGAGGAGGGGAAGGAAAATTTATCAGGTCAAGTTTTCAAGTCAGAAACTAGATCTCCTTCTAAAAGATATCATAACGATCAAAATGAAGAAATATGTTAAATAAAGCAATTTTTAGGAAATAATTCATGGCTGGGATTATACGGGTGGGGCTTGAAATAAAAAGGAAAGATTAATATAGGTCAGTAAAGAGGGATCCAAAATCTTTTGCCTCTCAAACAGAGAAGATTCCATCCCCATGGAAGCTGGGGCACATGGTAAACTTGGAATTCAGCTGGATCCAAGAGCCAGTACCACCGAGTCAGGATATGGTCTCTAGCCCGAGGCAGCTGTCCCTGACCCCCAGTTCCCTCTGAGGTCTCTGTCCAGGGAGAAAGGCAGCTGCTCCATGCCCTCTTAGACTAGAAGCAGCTCTTCTTTTGGGCACATGGGTTCTGAGGTGGTTTTTCCATAAAGGAAAGCAGTGACTGGGCCTCACATGAGTGTTCTAATAAACACTGGCACAGCCTCAGAGAAGCTCTGCTAAGCCCAGTAGCCTATCTCTGACAATAAATGCCTAGTTAACTCTTTAAATCGAAGGGAAAGTACACTGTATCAAACTCCCAGAGCTCCTTTCAACCTCAGCATTTGGCAAAAGATATTCTGATCAGTGATGCTCCTCAAAAAATACAGAACAGTACATACGGAAGAAGTAACATCTCTGAGCCAGCATGTGCAATTTCCTCTGTATAGAAGGTCTTAATGGGAGCAATCACTGAATCACTGAATTTCTGGGGTACTGCAAGAAAGAGATATCTCAAAAGAGAATACACTTGCATTAATAAAAAAGGAAACCAAAACACACCACAAGCTCCACAAACTTCCATACTCCCTTGAAATACTTGCTGTAGGAAATCTGATTAAATGAACAGCAGTTGCTCTTTCTGCTCTTCTGGAATTAAAATCTGTGAATTTCTATTATTTATTCACCTTTTTATCATGAAATGTATTGAGGGGATTAAAGCTCAGAAATCT